CTTTCTTCGCCACATTTGCTTATGCACCCATTTGTCTTCAGCAATCGTATCATGGAGGTGAGCACACAATGATATGATTTTTTTGTTCTTTGACGCACATCCTTGCTTTTCAAAGAATGTTGAAGATTTACCCAATGCTTCAGATTTACCCAGTGCAATTTGATCTCTTGACTGCTGCTTCCATGAGCATTGATCGTCGATCCAAGCAAAATGAAATCCTTGAAAACTTCAATCTTTTCTCCATTTATCTTAATGTTACTTGTTGGTCTAGTTGTGAGGATTTTGGTTTTGTTTACATGGATTGGAACCTTTATGTAGACTTGTATCCTGATCATTAGAGTCCAATAATGCAGAGGATATTTTCCTTAGGCTTATGTTAATGTGATTAGCCATATGGCTCAGTTGGTAGACTTAGTACACATTTAGTTCATGCCATTCCCTCTGTTGGATCATGTTCTACATTGGCAGACTCCTACTTATCCTTCATGATACAACCATTCGTTAATACTTGTAGGCAGTTTTCCTAGTACTTATGCCTGCCCTGGCTGAATAGATACACTTTTTATAAAAACTACGAGAAGAAAGATTTTATGCAATTTGATTCATTTGGGAGGCACAAAAGAAAAACTGAGCTATAAAAATACAATTTCCAGTTCCCTTGTAGCTCTCTCTCCTGTGGTCCTTCTGTTAGTCATCAGATTAAACTGCTGCCTACAGGGAGTAGTGTTAGAGCTTCAGAAAGACCCTCCAATGCCTGGAACGGTCTTTGCTCCCAAATGAATTCCATCCACCTCCCCTGCTTCCTCGGAAACTCTTGCTACAGGGAGTAAAGTTTTCATTAGACAAAACAACTTGCTTAGTTGTGTTTAAAATGCAAATTACCAATAAATTCACAGTGAAGTGCAAATGCGTGACAGCTGACCTTATCCTGGGAGCAGCTGTTCAAACGGGAGAGGGGTTGAGAGAACTCTGGGTGTCAGATCCCAGAAGAATGTGAAACGCAGACCCCATGATGGAACTGGTGGTCAGGTGTGGAGAGAACTCGGAATATGGTTGTCTGAGGCCATGGAAACAAAGGAGACTTTCTCAGTTGCCTTGGGACTGGTCTTGTCAGGGACTCAGACACAATCATTCCACGTTATACCAGTGCATTCCCATAAACGCCAAAGAAGTGCTCTTACCCAAGCTGTGGATTCGCATCTAAATCCCTCACCATTGTATTTTTAAAATCTAAGGCAGACTTTGTAAGAGGTAGTGCTTTTTTTCGTGGTAGTCATCTTGTCTTCCATGCAGGAGACCTGGATTGGATTCCTGGCCAATGTGCCTCCCGTGCATTCACCACTGGTCTGAAGGGGAAGGCTTGAGTGTGCTGCTATGTTGCTGAACGGATTGCAACAAAGCTTCCAGACTAAGACCAAGTAGGAGGAAATGCCATGAAAGTTACTTCCCAACAGGAGCCAATTAAAACCCTATGGATCACAATGTGCCATTCGCAGCCAAGCACTGTGCTGGCACCTCTGCATTTCATCCCACTGTGCACAGGTTTGCCAGCAGTTGGGGACTGATCCAATAGCAGTTAGCAATGCAGACCTTGTAAACAAGCCAAATAACTCTACACAGTCGGACAAATTCAATAATAGGGCATAATTACTACACCCAATGTGAAGGAAGCCCCATAATGAATAAATCATGTGTCCAGGGAAGGTGAACATAAACAAGACCTCAGAATAGTTTGAACAACTTTGGAGGAAAGTGACTTCATTCATGCAAAGACATGATTCCCAGGTTTCTGTGTGTTTACATGCTTCAAGGTCAAGTGCAAATTCGACCTCTCTCTTGAAGCCATCTTTAATTGCCCTTATCTTTTCTTTGGGATTCCCACAGCATTTCCTCTGAACCTCTTCTCATGGTAATTAGCACTCTATGTCAGATGTCATCATTGTCCATATAATTGATCTCCAGTCATCTGGGATCTGACATAGGGTAGGTGGCAAGGAATATTTGTTGAGTGAATGAAGACATTTACATGATGAACTTTATTCGGCTGTCAGATATATTCTAGCCCAAGACATTTCTATGGATGGTTTATAAAGCTCTTCAAAGGCATCATAAAAGAAATGAAGTTCTTATCATAGTATGGAAACCAAAGACACTATGTACAATGTAGCATACATAAAGACACATGTATTTCTACGCAAAATACCTTTGTTGTATACATATATATGTACATAAAAGAGACATTTTTTTGTCTTAGACATATTTGAAAATAAGTCCAAGAGCTCCTGATCAATGGGGAACCCTGCTGGAGCTGTTAAGTAAGTCTTGGACTACTAATCACAAGGTCAACAGTTCAAACCCACTAGCTATGCCACAGGAGAAAGTTGAGGCTCTCTGCTCCTGTTAAAATTCTCCGCGTAGGAAATTCTATAGAGGGTCACTAAGAGTCAGCATCTATTCACTGACAGCGGGTTGGGGCCACAGTGGAATTCAGTCACACGGTCAGGCAAGCTCCTTGTGGTGTCTCATTCTTTTGAGACTATAGCAGTTGATTCCTTTACCCTGTGACCATAGAACTAGAAACCTCCATCAGTCTACACCTTTAGCTACTGCTCCAATATGGACCGATGACTTAGAATGGACTCAATGGTTGTGAGCTGAGGAGCCCTGATAGTGATGTCAGGTAAGTGCTGCACTGCTAGCCACAAGGTGGGGGAGTCATACCCTTCAGTGGCTCCCTGGGAGAAAATTGAGGCTATTCACTCCCCTAGAGGTTTACACCATCCTGTCCCTCTCTAGGGTGGCAATGAGTTTGAATCAATTTAATGGCAGTGAGCAGAGGCCCAGAGGGAAGATCAAGCAGAGCTTGATTTAGTGACGTCCAGCTCGTTCTCGGTAAACCCACTGGACAGGGGTTGAAATGAATTCCAGTTCATCAGAACTAAGCATGCGATTTAGACAAGTCCTCTAATCTCGCTGCACTTGGTTTCCTCTGTGAAATGAGATGATAATTACATCTACTTCCCAGAGGCAGATGAGGATGGATTGCATGTAGATACAGTAGGTTGGTTTGGGCTAAAATAAATTATCAGCAAATATTCATCATTATCAGGTACTGGTTTCTTTGAAACATCAGCTTACAGTTGGGACTTCTACACTGGGGCTCACATCACATCCTGCAGAAGCTGACACGGATACAAACCCTCCTTGGGACAACCACCCAGACCCACAATGTCCTCTCTTCAAGGCAGGCAAGCAAGTGCAAGGCTTCTCTTGCTGGGCTCCTCAGACCCAGAGAGCGTCCGTGGACTTAACAAGATCCCCCCTGCCTAAGTTGGCACAGCCTAGGCATGTTACCTAACCAGACACTTGCTGGTGGTCCGTGCAACTTCCTAGTGTGCCTTTCTTTTCTTTGACCAGAGAATTTTGCCAAAGCAGATATCTAACTGAAAATTCCAAAAGTACGGTGTCACCATTTTTTTCCCTGCTGAACATCTCCCCCACACCTTGGAGATCCTAAAATCACAACACAAAATTTCAAAAGGGCCAGGGTGTGAATGAGCTATGTTGCTTCATATTCCGGATGCAACAGTTGTTTCAGATGTGGCATTTTAAGGAACCGCACGCACACACACCACTTCCCAGAAACAAGAGTACTGAGTGACCCATGATGCTGTGAGCACCCAGGTGCCCACCAAGGAAGGCTTCGCTGCAGGGACACTGAGAGGACAGCCAGGAGTAGCCTGTGTTTGAAAGAATGGCCATACTCAGCCCGAAGACCTTCCCCCTGCTGCTCCTGCTGCACACGCAGCTCTGCCATGCTCTCCCCATCCTCACCGAGCCACCCAAAGAGAGCAGCAAAAACACTGTTCAGGTAAACTAACGATCCATGTACCTCTGGAGTGAGTGCTAGATGTGCTGAGCATCGGGAAACTGGGCGCGCTGTTGCTTTTCTTCATTAAAGCCGCAGAAAGGAATGGTCTGGGTGACTTGCTTGAGGCTGCAAGGTTCAGTTTAGTGAATTGGGGAGTTCCAAACGGGCTCGGACTGGGTCCTCGGGGCATGAACGCAGGCTGGCTCCATGAGGCCCAGGGATATTGTACAGCCATGCTGCTTGCAGCTGGAGGGCTGAGAATGGATTTATTTACAAAACTAAGTGATTGCTTGCCTTTCTCTGTTACCTAATATTTTCCTTTCCATTGTTTCGGCAGCCTGGTGCATCCTGTATAGACTCTCCCTTATAGTAAAAAATCCCAGGTGTAGAAGCGAGAATGAGGTAGGAGATGGGAACAAAGCAGGAATTAATTCACAATCATTTACCAGGCATCAGGTAGTAGAGCTGTTTATAATCTCTTGGAAGCCCTATACAGAGTTAAAACCTTTTTCTCCATAAAGAGTTACAGTCTCAGAAACCCTCAAGGGCACTTCTACCCTGTCCTATAGGGTGGCGGTGAGTCAGCATTGATTTGATGGCTTGTGAGTAAGCCACAGTATGAAACCTGGGGCAATATTTAAGAAGCACAAGGGAATACCATTACATATTTGCACACGCAATCTTCTTAGCCTTAACAGTTTTAGAAAGGGTTTTCCTTTTTCTCACTTTTGGTATCTCTTACAATAATAACATAACTTCTGGTGTATAGCTACATTCACTGAGATAATTCATTGAGTCACCTGCTAAGTGTCACACAGACAATGCCTATTTAATCCTGGGGTGTAGATTCCTAGAGACGAGGAATGTGACCCTTAAATCAATGAACTGATGTGCCCCAGGTCTCACAGCTAATTGGGGACAGAGCCAAGATATGAACTCAAATCTGTCTGATTCTAAACGTATGTTCCATCTTATATAACTTACAAGAGACCAGGCAGCAAAAGGTAAGGTAAATGTTGCTAGCATGCCTCAGAAACCTTAGTTCTAAAATGACACTAGTTACTTAGAGAGAGTGACTTTGGTGAATAAAACACTTATACTAGTGATACTTCTATTGCCTAAAAGGGGAGGGGCACTGGTGATATGGTGATATAGTGAGTTACCTACTGGGCTGCTAAGGTCAAGGTCAGCAGTTTGAATCCCCCAGGTGCTCTGCAGGGGAAAGAGGAGGCTCGCTTCTTCGGGACTCTTGCAGTCTTGGAAACCCAGGAGAGCAGTTCTATTCTCTTCTATAGGGTTGCAAAGAGTTGCAATTGGCTCGATGGCAGTGAGAGTTTTATTGCCTAAAAACATAGTTGAAGTTCTTTTTTTAAAACAGCAAATTCTCCTTTGAGATGCAACATAGTGAGTTGGGACCTGGATTATAATCTTGGCACGTTCCTTAACTGTCTGAGCCTTCATTTCTTCATAAGGATAATTAAACCTAATGTAGTAGCATTTGGAGTCCCTCGAGGATTCAAGTGGTTAATGCCCTTGGATGCTAAGGCAACTCAGAATAAAGGCCTGGTAATCAACTTTTGAAAGATCACAGCCATTGGAAAGCCTGATGGAGCACCCTTCTTCGATGCACACGGAGTTGCCGTGAGTCAGAATGGACTCCACAGCAGCTAGTTTGTTCTCTTGTTTCAATAGCATTTAGAAGGTTAAGAAAGATGATCTACATGGTGCAATTCCTTTTTTAATATAAGTCAGGGAATCTCATTACTGTAGAGTGGCATTTTGTATGTAGCAATTGTCTCATTTACGAGATACTTTTTTTTAATCATTTTATTGGGGGCTCGTACAACTCTTATCACAATCCATACATCCATCCATTGTGTCAAACACATTTGTACATTTTTGGCCCTCATCATTCTCAAAACATTGCTTTCTACTTGAGCCCTTGGTATCAGTTCCTCTTTTTTCCCCTCCTTCCCTGCTCCCTCCTCCCTCATGAACCCTTGATAATTTATAAATTATTATTATTTTGAGACACTTATTTTTATGCATATGCATTAGTTAGCATCCTGAGTGGAAGGGCTGTTCTTTCTAAGAGGTCCTGTTCTCTCAAGTCAAACTGCACGCTTGTGTCTCTGTTCCTGTGGCTGTGTTAGGTTATTAGTCATGGTTTGAACCCTGGAATCATTTAGATAGGAATGAAAAACACTCAGAAAACTTAAGGGAATGTCACAGAAATACGCACATGTGTTTGTCTTTTGCAGAATTACCTAGAAAAGTTCTACCAATTGCCCAAGACTCAGGATCAAATAGAAAGGAAGAACAATGCTAATGTGGTGGTTGAAAAGCTTAAAGAAATGCAGCTGTTCTTTGGCTTGAATGTGACAGGGAAGCCAGATGCTGAAACCTTGGCGATTATGGAAAAACCTCGCTGTGGAGTGCCTGATGTTGGTGATTTTATGTTAACCCCAGGAGAACCCAAGTGGAAACACACAGACCTGACCTATAGGTGGTATTTCTTGAGTGTCGGAATTCATTCCTTCTGTGGGTATCCATGGAGCTTTAAGGGTTAGCAGGCAGTCTTCTAGGATTTGGCAGACACCAGGGACAAACAGACATTCTCAACCTCGAGAAGTTGAGAGCCTAGTGAATGTGTGGTTGAATGAAAAGGTAGGAGGTCCAGGGGCTCTTTGCACTCCCAGACCTACCGTTTTTGTCTTCCTTCACCAATAAAGAAACAATGTTGAGGAGAGTCTCTGTGAGCACTTACTTCAGCACCCCTCCAAATTGAATTGTTACTAGAACAAAATCTAGTTGCTGTTGATATCTACTTTGATAATAACAATAGCCTACAATAGTTATTTTTATGCATCAAGTTAACTGGGCTTTAGTTTTTTAGTTATCTAGTCAAATACTAGTCTAATTGCTGTCATGAAGTAGTTATAGGTGGTCAGTCAGTTGATCTTTGGCAGATCCTATAAAATGATAGGACATTGACATTGATATAATGTAGTACAGTCATGTTCCATAATGTAATCAGCCAATCCATTGAAAAGGGAGTTTTTCCAAACCTCAGTCACCATTCTACACTTTCTCTGGCCTGTGGACTTTCCAATGTTTTTTTAACCATTATGTTACAAGTAGTAAATTAAATGCTTTGTATATATTTAATCCACATAGGATTCTATGCTATTCTCTTCATTTTATGAACATGGAAATTGGGGCTTAAAGACATAAAATAACTTGTCCTGGAGTTACTAAAGGTCAAAAGCCAGACATGAGCACTTGTCTGTCCTCAACTCAGGCTCCTTTTCATCCCTTTCTTATACTCTTATCTTCCCCACGTGTGCAACGCACTCAATATATCAGGCTACTGACATCCTACAATTCTATTGATAACCTGTTATTCCAGACAATAACGAACTCTTTACACATCTTCTCGCTTTGAAGGATTAGAAATTACCCTTCCTATTTGACACAAGCTGATGTGGAAACATATATCCAGAGAGCCTTTCAAATCTGGAGTGGTGTGTCACCCCTGAGCTTCACCAAGATCTCAGAAAGAGAAGCAGACATCGAAATTGGTTTTGTCCAAAGAGGTAGTCTCAAAACTATCATTCTCGGTTTTTCTTTTTGCGGACAACCTGAGAGTCAGCAAAGACATAACGTGAATGTTTTTATTTCAGCGCATGGTGACAATTCTCCATTTGATGGGCCCAATGGAATACTAGCTCATGCTTTTCAACCAGGACCAGGTCTTGGAGGAGATGCCCATTTTGATGCAGAGGAAACATGGACCACCTCCTCCGAGAGTAAGTTAAGGCCACGTGTACAATAGGAAGGAACCTTTGCCAAGCTCCAGCCAATGCCTCCATCCAAGTTGCGGTAGTATTTCAAACTCAATCACACTGATCAAATAGCAGTTCTGCTACTTAAGATCGTAAGTTAATTTAGGTTTAGAAAAATACTGACTGTATTTCTAGATAGAGACCAGAAAACTATAGACTGGGATCAAATCTCATCTGGAACCGGCCCCCCTTTGGGGTAAGGTTTTATTGAAACAGGTCCACATTCACTTATTGGCATGTTGTCCACGACTGCTTTCAGTATACAGTGGTAGAGAGACCATGTAGTCCACAAAGCCAAAAGTATTTTCTATCTCTACCTTTATAGGAAAAGTTTGCGGAACTCCACTTAAAAGTATTTAATTCTTTTAATATTTTGAAATGAACGATGGCTAGAAAAAACTCTCCTCACTGTCTTTAAGGCAGTGCCCATTCAACCCCCTGTGGGTTTCTGAATCTGTTACTGTTCGTGAGAGTAGCAAGCCCAGTCTTTCTCCTGAGGAGCTGCTGGTGGCTTCGAACTGCTGACCATGTGGGTCACAGCCCAATGGGCAACCACTACACCCCCAGAGCTCCTCGAGGGTTAGAAAGTCCCTATAATTTGAAATTCGGTAAAAAATGGAATTCCTTTTTTTAACACTGATCTCTTTAGAAAAGAGCAATTGCTTTCTTGTTCGCCTAGTTATTGCATTTTCTAAGTTCTCTTTCTTTCTTTTTAAACATTTTACTAGGGGCTCATACAACTGTTATCGCAATCCATACACACATCAATTGTATAAAGCACATTTGTACATCATTCTCAAAACATTTTCTCTCCACTTAAACCCCCGACATTAGGTCCTCATTTTTCCCCTCCCTCCCCACTCCCCCCTCCCTCATGAGCCCTTGATAGTTTATAAATTGGTATTTTGTCATATCTTGCCCTGTCTGACGTCTCCCTTCACCCACTTTTTGGCTGTCTGTCCCCCAGGGAGGAGATCACAAACAGTTCCTTGTAATTGGTTCCCTCTTTCCTACCCATTCTCCCTTTACCTAAGTTCTCTTTCAATGATATGCTCCAATATAGCAAACCATTCATTTCCAGAGAAGGCTCATAATAAGAAGGCTGCAAGGACGAAAGGAAGCTATACCATATGACACTTTACCAAAGTATCTTAGTCTTGGTTTTCTAGAGAAGAAAACCCAGTGAAACAGATAAATGACCAATAGTGAAATGATAGATAGATAGATAGATGATAGATAGATAGATAGATAGATAGATAGATAGATAGATAGATAGATAGATAATTGATGATAGATAGATAAATAGAAATTTCTGTCAAGAAAATGGCTCAATTAGTTGTAGAAGCAGGCAAATCCAAGCCCAGGCAGGCTCCAGGTCCATGGGTCAGAGGTTAGGCTGGAGCTTCCTCTGACTCACATAGCTGTGATGATTGTCAGGAAATGCACAGGTGGGCGGCTGCAGAGACAATGACTGCAAGGTTGGCAGGTCAGCTAATCAGCTGGGAGGTAATCTGACAGGCTATGGGCTCAAGTCCAGAGAACCTGAAGTCTGAAAGCCAGATGTCAGCTCCAGGTCCAGCAAAAAGCAAGCAAATTTACATGGGAATCAAATCTCACCCTTGAGGCATAATCTGAATAAGGGTGTTGCATTCCGCCCTAACCTTGTCCTGCTATGGAGACTTAAAACGGATTGGCTGCAATTACATTGCACTAAACCAGGCCTTAGAGGATTACTAGGTGTTAACTGCCAAAGCACTGAGAAATTGACACAAAACCTTAACTATCACACAAGGACATGGGACAATACACCACAGGGTATCTTTTAAAATCACAATGGAAGAGATGCCTTGTATCTTTGCTTTGGGACTGTTACTTTTGTCATTTTCTCATCATATATGTCTTGTCTCTTACACCTAAATCCCTGAACTCAGAGCTGACACATGAGACCCAAGGACATATGATAACACCCCACTGCTTTGTAGGCACCATGCTAGTCCAGATGGTCAGTATCTCTTACCTGAACTAAGTGACCCAGGTCCCTAACTAGACACTCCACTTCCAACCACTGATCCCTCTTTCCTACCCCCTAGCAGTGGCAAGATTTGTCCTTGGAAAGTCAATCTTGGAACATATTCCATTCCTGCTTAAAACTTTCATATTCTGTCCCAAAGAAGGTCTAAATAGCTTCGTTTGGAATTGAAGTCTTTTGGTGCATTTCGACACTAGTTTTTTTCTTGACTTGTCTTCATAGACCATAAGCATTAGCCAACTTCTCTGTTACTAGATCACATTTGTGCTTTTCAACTTCTCTAAAGTTGTTTACATAGCTTCCTCCTCCCCATATGCCCTTCCCAATCCAGCAAGCCCACCTTTCACACACTCTCTCTCTCTCTCTCTCTCTCTCTCCTTGCCATCCCAAATCACATGCAGCTTACTGCTCTGTCTTTTATCTGGAACATTCTTTACCCGCACAATCACTCAGCCCTGTGCTAACTCACTGCTCTCCCTTCATTATTCTGGGCATTCAAGCTGCTCGCACACATATCTCTCTTTCTAGACTGTGTAAGCAGAGAATGATGACACATAGCTTGTCACACTGTAGTCCAAGAACTAAAAAAAAAAAAAGTTTTTAAATGCATACATTAATGCCACCGCTTGCCTGTCAGTTTGTCATATTGTAGTGGCTTGCGTGTTGCTGTGGTACTGAAGGCTATGTCACTGGTATTTCAAAGACCAGCAGGATCACCCAAAGTGAATAGGTTTCAGGAGAGCTTCCAGGCTACGAAGAGATTATAAAGAAGAAATAGGCTGTCCACTTCAGAGGAATTAGCTGCTGACCTGATGTGACTCTATGGATCACATCAAAGCATTGTCGCTTACAGAAAACCTAGTGAATAGAAGTAGAGCATTGTCAGAGTCATGCTAGAAGAAGATGCCCCTCAGGCCAGGAGGCACCCAAAATATGACTGAAGAAGAGCTGCCTCCTCAAAGCAGAGTAGACCACAATGGCGAGGATGAAGTAAAGCTGGGAAAGGAATGCCTTCCAGAGCTTCATTTGCTGGCGAAGCACAAATGAAACTGAGAAGAAACAGCTGCAAACATCAATTGACCATCAGGACTTGGAATGTTCACAGTATGAATCTAGGAAAATTGGAAGTTGTGAGAAATACAATGGAAAACATAAAAATCAACATTTGAGGCATTTGTGAGCTTACACGGATTGGTATTGGCCATTCTGAATCAGAAAATCATACAGTTTACTAGACTGGGAGTGGCAAAATCAAGAGGAATGACACTGTATTCATCATCAAAGAGGACATTTCAAGATCTATCTCGAAGTAACATGCTGTCTGTGATAAAATAATACCTATCCACAGAGAAGGAAATTCAATCAATACAAATTTATGCATCAATACAAATTTATCACTAGAGCAAGTGAGGCAGAAATGGAAGAATTCTACCAACCTCTCAGTCTAAAACTGATCAAACATGCAATCAAGATGAATAAATCCTTGTTGGTGATTGGAATGCAGATGTACGAAACAAAGAAGGAACAATCATCAGAAAACAGCTGTGGTGATGGAAAATAAGCTGGAGAATGCAGGAGAGAACTGTGCAAAATCAAAAAGCTCTTCGTCTCAAATACCTTTTTCAACAACAGAAAAGGTGCCTGTCCACGTGGACTTCTCCAGAAATCAAATTGACTACATCTGGTCTCTGTAAAACGAGATGATGGAGAAGTTCAATATCAGCAACTAAAACCAGGCCAGAGACCAACTGTGGACAGACCATAAATGGTGCACATGGAAGTTCAGGTTGAATTTGAGCAAACTGAAAACAACGCCACAAGAGCTAAAATACAACCTTGAGTCTCTCCCACCTGAATCTCGGGAACATCGCAAGAATAGATTTGATGTCTTAAGTACTAATAACAGAAGACCCGATGAACTGTATGACATCAAGAACATCATGCGCGAAGAAAGCAGAAAAGGTCACGAAAAGACAGGAAAGAAAGAAAATATCAAAGCGGGTATCAGAAGACACAGTGCAACCTGCTCTTCATTGCAGAGTAGTGATGGCAGATGGAAGAAATGGTGATGTCAAAGAGCTGAGCAAGAAATTTCAAAGGGCAGAGGAGAACACAATGTCAAATGTTATAAGGAAATGTGCCCAGCCCTAGAGTTAGAAAACCAGACAGGAAGAATATGCTCAGCATATCTTAAACTGAAATAGAGAAAGAAAAAAGTCAAGCCTCAAGTTGCAACACTGAAAGATTCTTTGTGCAGAATAATGAAAGATGTAGGAAACATCAAAAGAAGATGGAAAGAATACCCAGAGTAACTGTACCAAAAAAAATGAGTTGATATGTACCATTTCATGAAGTAGCATATGAGCAAGAACCAATGATACTGAAGGGGAAAAATCCAATCTGCACTGAAAACGTGAGCCAAAAACAAGGCTTCAGGAATTGATGGAATACCAATGGGAACATTTCAACATGCCGGCGAAGCACTGGAGCCCTCACTGGTGTATGCCAAGTAATTTGGAAGACAGCTACTTGGACAACTGTCTGGAAGAGATCCATATTTGTACCCCTATGGGTCACCCCTATGGTGACCTAACAGAATACACAAATTAGAGAACAATATCAATGGCATCACATACAAATAAAATGTTACTGAAGATCGTCCAACAACTGCTGCAGCTGTACATTAACAGTGAGCTGCCAGACGTTCAGGCTGAATTCAGAAGAGGACATGGAACAAGGGATATCACCACTGATGTCGGCTGGATCTTGGCGGAAGGTAGAGAATACCAGAAAGATGCTTACCTGTATTTCGTTGACTACGCGATGATCAATGTCAACCCCACCAGCCCAGGAGGACAAACAACAGCAACTTGGGTGAGGGAAGACAGTGGACAGTGTAAGATAGGAAAATAATAATTTATAATTTATCAAGGGGTCACGTGGGTTGAGGGAATGGAGGGGGAAAAAGAGGAGCTGATACCAAGGGCTCAATTGAAAGTAAATGTCTAGAAAATAATGATGGCAACATATGTACAAATGTGCTTGATACAATTGATGTATGGATTGTTATAAGAGCTGAAAGAGCCCCCAATAAAATGATTTAGGTTAACAAGAGAGAGAGCGAAAAAGATGGAGTGGGAAAGTTGGTTCCGGCTGAAAGGATGCTCCCTTGGAGATTATACTCCTGTCAGATGTCAGGCTTTCATCACATATGCTTGCATTGCAGATTACAACTTGTTTCTTGTTGCTGCGCATGAATTTGGCCACTCCCTGGGGCTTTCTCACTCCTCTGATGCGGGTGCCTTGATGTATCCGACCTACGCTTACAGTGACCCGAGCACGTATTTGCTCCCTCAAGATGACATCAATGGCATCCAGACCATCTACGGTAAGGTCGGTAAGGTCGCCTGGAGGTGATGATAACACTTGGTGGGAGCTGGAAATAGGGCTCAGCAAACCCTACTGAAGAGCTGAGCATCTCTCTCTTTGCACGTCTCTCTGACTGTCTCCTCTGAGCACGTTGAACTCTGCAGGCTATCTGCAGCTCACATTGCATTTGCAAAGGAGGCTTGGCTGTGGGGAGCTAAGTATGCAGGCGACTGTAAGGAAAATAATAGGAAGAAATGCATCACATTGCTAATAGAATGTGGTGGTTTTCCCCTCTTCTTGCTTTCCCAATGAAAAGAAATTAAAGGTACGACTACCCTTTTTTTATACAACAATCTTGCTCCTCAATATATTTCCTCCCCTTAAAATCCCACAAAGACCCACCAGGCCATGTCCAAGGCCTTCCCAGGATGTCTGCTACCATGTTGTTGGTGGTGCTGTAGGAGCTGGAGAGAAGCCAAGGGTGGACTAGGAGGAGGACTTGCGGATGAAATGCGGGGCGTGTGCAACCTGGAGTGTTGGGCCACAGCCGCAGCACAACTTCCTTGTGCCTGTGGCAAGAACACAGAGCGATCTAGACAATGCGGTGCTTAGTGAAAAAGGAATCAGAATTATACATATTACACAGGGAATAAAGTATATCTTACAACATGAATTAAAATGCATACAGATGAAGCAAGACGTTTTCAAGAACATATTCTACAAAGGGTAACGAATACATAAAAATAGTTGTCTCTAGAGACAACAGGAGAACGAAGTGGAATGTGGAGAGGATAGAAATCTGTTTTTAAAGGCAGGACTGATGCTCTCAGGGAGGAGGCTGTCTGCATAAAATCATTGTAGTCTCCACCCTCTTCTCCTCCTGCCCCTACTCGCTGGAAGGAAGAACAGGAAATCAGGGAAGCATTCTTATCGTTTGTTCAGGTGGCAATGAGTAGATTTGTGATTTACTGTAACTCCCTGTGGCAGAGTAGAATTGCCCTGTGGAGTAGTCTTTACTGGAGTAAGTTGCCAGTCTCTCTTCCGTAGAGCCATTGAGTCAGGTTAGTCCTCCACTAAGCAGAGTGGGGCGGAGTGGAGTGGGGGCTCAGTACTGCAAAGCCAAACCCACCAGGTGCTAGAACCACATTTCGTTCTTGCCCACAGAATGTCTAAGACAGAGAAGCCCTTCTCTCGTTGCCTCTCCTCCTCAACTCCTTTCTCCACCCCCTCCAAATCCCCTTCTTGCCTCAAAAATGCTTTAACGTCTCTGAATTGGTAGCATAGCCCTTAAATCTATAAAGAGAAAAAGAAGTAAAGAAAAATTCCTTCAAAAGATATTAATAAAGCTCAATTTAGATTTACATCTTGGGGTGAAAGGTCAGATCTTTCTTTGGGAGTGGGTTTTGAAGGGGAAGCAGAAGTAAATAAAGAGTGGAAACAATGGGGGAAAGAGGGGGAAATGAGGAAAGAGGGAGGTTGGTTGTTTTTTTTTAAGAGGGTGTGGGGTTGTACTCAAATTTCTTGACTTCACAATTCAGCTTAGAACTGGCTCCATAAACCATTCTTCCTCTTATTAAAAAATAAAGAGGGATGGGGGGAGTGCAGAGTGGAGATCCAAAGCCCATTAGTAGGCCACTGGAGATCCCCTTGCAGAGGGGTCTCGGGGAGGAGATGAGCCAGTCAGGGTGCGATGTAACAATGATGAGAAATACAACCTTCCTCTAGTTCCTAAAGGTTTCCTCCCCGCTCCCACTACCATGACTCGAATTCTATCTTGCAAGACTGGCTAGACCAGAGGAGGTACACTGGTACAGATAGGAACTGAAAATACAGGGAATCCAGGATGGATGAGCCCTATAGGACCAGTGGTATGAGTGGCAAAACAGGGAGGGTAAAGGGAGAATGGGTAGGAAAGAGGGAACCGATTACATGGAACTGTGTGTGACCTCCTCCCTGGGGGACAGACAACCAAAAAGTGGATGAAGGGAGACGTCGGACAGGGCAAGATATGACAAAATACCCATTTATAAACTATCAAGGGCTCATGAGGGAGGGGGGAGCGGGGAGGGAGGGGAAAAATGAGGACGTAATGTCGGGGGTTTAAATGGAGAGAAAATGTTTTGAGAAACGATGTACAAATGCGCTTTACACAATTGATGTGTGTATGGATTGGGATAACAGTTGTATGAGCCCCTAATAAAATGTTAAAAAAAAAAAAAAAAAAAGAGGGCCTGGTCTCCAGTTACTTCACTGTCTTTGGGACAGTCTGGTAGCATATTCCTCACCACATGAACCTCTTCATCTTTCTGGAAAGTGTCAGGCATATCTGAATATTCAACATAAGTTTTCCTAATTTCTTTTTAACAGGACCATCAAACGACCCTATCAAACCCACTGGACCAAGCACCCCCACAGCCTGTGACCCCAGATTGACTTTTGATGCTATCACTACACTCCGAGGAGAAATATTTTTCTTTAAGGACAGGTATAAGATGGATTTGTCGCTTCCTTTGACTTCTCTTACTGGCATAACTTTGAACAGAATTCTAATTGAGTCATACATTTCCCAACTTTTTCTTTGAATTCTACACTTATTCATCTCATTGGTATTTTTAGTGCTTTCTGGATAATTCAAAACATCAAGGAAAAAAGGAAACTGAAATGTGTAAACAGGGGCTTATCTGCTTGAAAGATACCACAGTTAGGTTTGCCTGGCACAAAACCGCCATTTAATTCTATCCCCAGTCAGTCAAGTAAATGGAAACCATCCGTTAACTAGCTGTGTGTCGGGCGGGAGGGGGGGGCGGGCCTGCAAGCATTTCAGTGCCTAGGTTTTTCATGTTTGCGTTGGCAGTTTTGAGATTATAGAACTCACAAAAACATTGGTTTGTACTCATCCAGAGGTGCCTTGAAAGAAAGGCCTGGTGATCTACCTCCAAAAAGTTGGAAATCCCTCCGGAGCACAATTCTACTCGTACAAACCTGACTGCCTCGAGCTGGAATCAATCGCACTGCAAACGAGCTTGGAGATTTGTTTCGCCTTGTGAGCAGCGATCGAGTGTATCTGCTATCGCCTTCTGTTGTGAACAACATACTCTCTAATTTTTTGAGACGAATAATGAATGATACTAACAAATTAAGATTTGTCATTGTGTCAGGAAGGGCCAATGCAAAGTGCAATCCAACGAGGCAATTCTTATCAACACCTCTGAAAACTGGAAAGTGCTCAGCAGATGGGCAATATCGCCCCAAGGGCAGGCCGTGTGCTGGCCATTGAGATAGCATGCTGCATCCAATAGCGTGTTAGATTCCCCCAGCAATTGTACTCAGGGTCATGACTAGACCAAGATTCCCAGAAGCTGCCTGTTTAAATTGTGTGAGGATTTGTGTGTAGGTGATTTATTTTACACCCCCCCCCCTTTTTTTTTTTTCTTTCATTCTTTCTTTGTTTTTGTTTGTTTGTTTTTCAGGTACTTTTGGAGAAGACACCCCAAGCTACGCAGCGTGGAAATGAACTCTATCTCTCTATTCTGGCCAGCCCTGCCAAATGGAATCCAAGCTGCTTATGAAGATTTTGACGAAGACTTAGTCTTCTTATTTAAAGGTAGCTGCCGAAGGTTTTCAACTGATTTTGAGTTCCGCCTGGAAGGAGGAAGCAGGCTTGTGTGTGTTCTTGGCTTAGTTATCTAGTGTTGCTGTCGTGCAAACCTGCAATACCACAAGTGGGTGCTTTTCCCACAGTTCAGCGGACTACCAGTCAGCGTATTTTCCCACTGAGCCCTCAGGTGACAAGTGTGTCTGAGTGGAGTCCAGTTCCCCCAAGGAGTTTCCGCATTGGATCTCATGGAGGCAGCCTCTGGGGCACGCTGTGCACACGGAAGATCCAGGATCCAATGCCCCAGCGATCCAAGGCACCCCAGCCTAGCTCCCCAGGTTGCACCCAGAAGCCCGGATCAATATGACCCATTGGGGGTATCCCACCAAAGACACTCCCCCTAGTGTCCCCAAAAGTATTTTCAGCCATCCTTCCCACCAACTGGAGGTCGGTCCTCCCTCTTTCCCTCCAACAGATGTGCACTTGTGTTCCCCAAACGTGTTTAGCCCCTCTCCCCTCTCCTGACGTGTTTTCCCCATCAGTATCCCTCATCCCTCAGACAGGACTACTTATTTATAGACATAGGGATCAGGATTTGAGACTGTATTGGGCGGGGGTGGGGGGCGCACATTTCAATCTGTAGCAGGGTTCTCTCAGGTTCGGAAGAGGTGGGCCAATGCGAGAGCATTTTGTGGCCAGGTTTGCTTAGGGTATGTCCTTAGGTTCGGTCTGCTACAAATTGCTCTAGGACTATAGGCAAGTTGTGCCCTCTTCAAACATCCCTTTTCTCAACTCCAAAATGAGAGGACCAGATCAAACCAACTGTAGTGTTCTTCCACCCAACTACAATATTTTCAGATTTCCCAAGGCCACAAATAAATCATTGTCTAGAAGTCATGTGAAACAAAACATCCAATTGTGGTGTCTTTGAATATCAGGCTAAGAAATTTTCATTCTTCTTTAAAGTACTGTGAAATTACTAGGCGGCTCATATCCCAAGGGGTTAACTTTATCATATGCATCTTTTAAAAATTGTTTGTTCTGTAATTGATTTCATTTGCATGCTGTATTTATACATGCAGTGGTGTACATTTTATTGTAACATGTGGAGAACGTTACTTACCATACAACCTGGATCGTTGGCAGGCAACCAGTACTGGGCTCTGAATGGCTATGACATTCAGCCAGGTTATCCCAGGGATATCTCAAACTATGGCTTCCCCAGCAGTATCCAAGCCATTGATGCAGCTGTCTTCTACAGAAGAAAAACATACTTCTTTATCAAGAATCAATTCTGGAGGTAAGGTAACTTTTTTTCCAACTAGACATTGAAGTCTGTGTTTCTTACAGTCTACCAGCCACTAACGATGGTAAAAATTCAGGACCCTGAAGATTTTTTTAAAATCTAGGTGGTCTTTGATTGGGTTTAGGTAAAATATATCCTTTTTCAGAATACAACTGTTAGTGCTTTGACCTTCGAAAATTTCATTTTTATGAACGAAAATGATGCAAATGGTATTGAGGAATCTGTATCGTGGAATACAGAAAACTCTAATAAGGCTCTAGGAGGGGAAGTAAAGAAAGCTTTAAGTTGAGTATGTTTTTTGAGTCAATTTCTGATGCATTCAAACATTATGCAAATAGCCTATGGAGTTAAGTGTTCAAGTTAGAGTTATTTATGTTTATTCGTACACACATGCATGTGAACATTTATGTGCACACATACACACAGTTGAACCTATGAAGTAGGAGTACAATCTTTAGAAAATAGAAGCTTTTAGTTTAGCGGGGAAAGGGGACCAGCTCTACATCAGCAATCAGAAGGCTTTTGTAAAATTGATGATACCCATCTCACTGGCATTGACTCAATGCCAGCTCTTATGAGCCTGTAGGACAAGGTCGAACTGCCCCTGGGAGTTTCCAAGACTGTATCCTGGAACAGGAAGCCCCGTCTTTCTCCCAAAGTGGCTGGTGGTTTTGAACTGCGGGCCTTGAGGATCCCAGCCCAACTCGTAACCCCGACGCCACCTAATGATACCCATAACTTTTATAAATGCATATGTACCCTTCGGGAAAGAAGTTACCCATTCTTAACCCCAGGAAAGAGGACATTGTGAGAATTGACAGAGAAAAAACAAAGCACTTTGTTGTATGTTCAAGTTAAAGAAAAGTACTCTCATTATGCACTCTATCTGGAGCACAGTATGCAACTTCTTTTCCTCAGATATGATCATGAAAAAAAATCCATGGACCCAGGATATCCCCAAAGCATAGCAAGTACTTTTCAAATAACAGAAAGTAGAATTGATGCAGTCTTCTATCAGGATTGTAAGTAGAAAAAAAGTAGTAACTTTCTTTAAATGATTATCATTTTTTAAAATAGCATGTTTGCAACTGTAAATTACATCACAACAGGTGGGGAGGGATTATAATGGGAAATGTCTGAAACTCCACTTCTACAAGCTAATTCCACAAATCTCTTCTTTTACAGATTTCTTCCTTTTCTTCAGTGGCCCAAGATACTATGCATTTAGTCTTAATGCCAATAGAGTTACTAGAATTGACAGAAGCAATAAATGGCTTAACTGTAGATAAAGTTTAAGTACATTCAAATTTGTATTCATTTTCTCTGAATGCTAATAGAAGCAAATTGAATTTGCATATCTATTGTATCATATCTTTTTTATGCTTTGCTCAACAATAAATGGTCACACTGTTCGCGCCCCCCCCCCCCCCCCCCCCCGCCTGTATCCACTGGGCCTGTCCTCAGTGAGAACGTGTGTGGACTGCCCCACTGTTTGCAAAGACGGGTTCAACTGCTCACGCATTCTGTCTCTGGTGAGCGAATCGATCATAATAGAACCATGGGAGAATAAGTTATCTTTTTCACCACAAGGTTCACTATTTCATTACTTGCTTATGTGACTTCTACTATTCATATATTCCTATTTCTTGAGATATGTCTTACGTGTGTCTGCTGAACACAATGTAGCACTAGGGCTTCATTATCTATCAGAATTACAAACAATATTCACAGTGCCCTTTGACGCTACAAGAAACGTGATGCTATTTTGCACTCTTGGAAATGAATGTAGTTGGTACTTGTGTACTGAAGGAGCTCTGGTGGCACAGTGGTTAAGTGCTCTGCCAATAGGCAGAAAGGCTCGCATTTCAAGCCCCCCCAGTGGCTATATTGGAGAAAAAAATCAAGTGGTCCACTTCTGTAAAGGTTAAACCAAAAATGTATGATATGCCACAAACACAAGGGGAAAATCTTAATTTTTAAAATGTAACTGTTTTTAAAAATGTGTTTTTATTAAGATGAGCGTCACAGCCTTGAAAGCCCTCCAGTTTCCCTACCTATCCGATCTAGACACTGGCCTGAGTGGTTTTAAAAGGATGAAAAGTACAATCGAAACGGACTTCAATTTTTGTGTGACACACAAGCTAGTTCCAAAACAACAACAACAAAAAAATAAGAGTTCAACCCAAAACATCTCATTGCCCTCAAATGGACCCCAACACAGAGCAAGCCAAACCAAAGAAACCAACCCACGGCTATTGAGATAACGTTCACTCAGTGATGCTGGACAGGGTTTCCCAAGGCTGTGAACCTTTATGGGAGTAGACAGCCTCCTAGTTTTCCCTGAAGTGTCTAGTGGATTTGAACTGCCAACCTTGTGGTTAGCAGCCCAATGCTTAACCCACAGCCACCAGAGATCTGCCCCCATATGGATTCCAAGGCTGAAATCTTGTGGGAATCAGACTACCACATCTTTCTTCCTCTGAGGGCCAGTGTGTTCAAACCAGGGACCTTCTGGTTAGCAGTCCCAGCATATAACCACTGCAGCAGGAAGGCTTCCTTTCCCTAAAGAGCACAGTCTCATCAACCCTATGGGGCAGCTTCCCTCGGCAACAAGTCGGACTCAGTTCCACAGCACACAGCAACAGCAGCAATTTCTATACAACAAACTACTGTGCGCAGAGTGCTAATGTGGAGCCTCTCCTGAGGATGCTGGGGCATCTTCCCAGGAGAGCAGCAGAGTGGAGAGGTGCCCCCTCCTGTCTCACCTCCTCCTTGCTCTCTTCTGCAAGAATCCAAGAAATTAGCTACTGGAATCACTTGCTCCTTGTTTCCTTATTTTCTGGAATGACATACTACCTACACCTGCTCCAAGCCACGGTATTTTGATTTGCTTCAGCTGCTTGTGAAAGTTGACACTGCATAAGGAAAATCGAAGAAGAAATGATGTGCTTGAATTCTGGTGCTGGAGAAGAAACAAATCTGTCTTGGAAGAAGTACAGTCAGAATGCTCCTTGGAGGCGAGGAGAGTGAGACTTGGGACGTGTTATCAGGAAAAGAGCAGACCCCGGGGAAGGACGCCGTGCTTGGTAAGGAAGTGAGGCAAGGAAAAAGAGGAAGCCGTAACCAGATGGAGTGACACGTGACTGCGGCACTGGGCTCTAGCATAGGAGCAGTGGGGGGACTGCCGCGGGCCCAGGCGGCGCTCTTTCTGTTGTACGCCGCTAGCAACACCAACACACACCATAAACGACACAGATTCGATACAGCTCACGGAATCCGATGAAACCGTTCACACGTATACATTTGCAGATGGCGCTTACCTGATAAGAACTTTAGATGTAGAACCAAAATGTCCAGTTCAGAGATCAAATTTCCATATTTTCCATTTGTAATGCAGCTTATTGCACACAAAAAACTTGTGACTTGCAAAATACATTTCTTCTAGCACATTCTATGTTCTGCCTCTCCGCCTTTGGATTCCATAGATAACTAATACAGTATAAATAAGTAAATTGTTTCTTATTTTGGTTCAAAAATCATCTATTAAGTGAGTTTGAAATAAAGATTCTATTTAAAAATTATTGATTTGTAATCTACTTACAATGTTTTAAAAAAATCATCTATTAAGTGAGTTTGAAATAAAGATTCTATTTAAAAATTATTGATTTGTAATCTACTTACAATGTTTTTAAACGTCACTACATGGTTTAAAGTTGAAATAAGAAATAGCAAATTTCAGGTATATTCAACCATTTAGTTTCTTCTTAGAATGATAATATTGATAAACATTTAGATACCACTTAATTCTTTATGAAGTATTTTATAAATATTTAATATCCTCAAAAAGTTCCTTTGGTGATACCAGGACATTATTTTCAACTTACTTTATAAGATGAGTCAACAGAAACTAATATATACTATCATTTCACTCAATCATTCATTTATTCTACAGGAATTAACCACTTCCATGTCCTGGGTTCTACACTATGAGACAAATACACAAAGACTTCATTGCATCAATTTAACAAGAATAAATGACCCCAAAAAGCTGCGCTTTTCATTCTTAACAGTAGAATCCATGTCAGACTGTTATGTTTCCTAAAACTTCCTATAAGGCTAGTTCTCTTACATATTTTATAAAAAAGGAAGAGTCGTCTTTTCAGAACTCCTACTTATTATAGATTCTTGGCCCAAATCCTATGTATGCATTGTTTTACATGAGAACTGAGTTCATAGTATTTCTTTAACGAATCATAGGAGATGAGCTGCAAAATAAAGAGTGATAAGGACTCTGAAAACTAGCTGTTCCTTTTCATTTTAAGACTTCTTGACAACACATGGTATATTCTGATAGTTATAATAAAGTTTCATATGAATACAAGAGATGGAAGGATATAAGCTTAGAATTGAAGTGAAGAGATCACTTTTAAGTGTAGGTTCAGTTTCTTAGAAAGCAGAGAGAAGGCCAAGATCCTGGGGGGAGTTTTTATTCCGGTTGTGGTCGTAGAAGGCAAGTGAGGGCCAAGCAGAGGGAGCAGAGACCATGCTTTGAGTCCGGGAGATTCAGCTCAGCCATGGCCAAGAACCTGAAAGCAGAAGACACTGGGGTTTTAAAATGTTGATGATCTGGAATACTAGCTAGAAAAAGAAAAAATCCAGGTTGAGGCCCTGTAATGGGGAACGTGGAAGAAATGAAGACCCTTATCTCATAGTTCATCCTTTCAAAGTCCTGGTGCTTGATCTGGGATTATCGCCTCACCTGCAGAGAGTGGCACACACTCAGGGTCATGCTGCTGGCCACCATCTTTGAGCCGGAACTGCTATTTTTAATTCTCACCATGAAGAGACTTTATTGTTGCTACGCAGTACTCAAGCCCCCTTGTTTCCTAAGAGGGAACTTGAATTTCTAGCAGGGTTTTGACCTATAATGTTTCCCATTCTGGTTTACTCACACTGAAAAAATTGGGATCCATTCCATGTGGCTTTGTCAGCCATGACTGAACTGGACTGACCTGGTTCAGCACCTAGACAGAGAAGGAGGAGACGCTGATACAAGAGTGTGTTATCAGGGCTGCTGCTACAGGCAACTGGACCTCTTAAGAAGCCTACAGCATACCTTAACGTCCCTTGGGTGTAAATTCCTGGTTGTATTCCTGACCTGGCAGGTAGGTGTCTGTTGCATCAACTTGCTCTGGGCCCATAGAGGAAAGGCACCCAGCATGCAATTGAGGTTGCGCTTTGTCAGAGCAAGGTGAGAGTGGATTAGACAAACCTGCCCAAAGCCACTGCAACTCAAACCAGAAGTTTGCCAAAGAGGTGACCCAGAGAGCTAGAAGTATCTCCTATAGTTTTCTGGGAGGGAGATTAAAAAACCCCTATTTACAGATATGGTCATTGGGGAAATCTCAATCGAGCGATGTCTTCTAGTTTCTTACCCTAACACCCATTCTCCTTCACCCCGCTTCAATAGGAGCGAGCCCAGTTTCCTGCATGGTAGCAACGTGTCCAGCTATAAAGCAGTAGTTTGTCTTTCCCTCCTGTAAAATGTGGCCCTATGTTTACAGTTCTAGCCAAAAAGGTATAAGCAGAATGGTGGGTGAGGCTTCTGGAAAGACTCGGAGTTTCTGCTTTGCCTTCCTCCTTTCTGCCATCTATCATGCAGATGCAACAGAACTTGAGGGGCCATCTGGAACCCTGAGTCAGCGCCCTCAGACAGCGGTGCAGCAAGGTCAATGAGCCTGCCTCCTTTATGATGCCGAGTTGTCCGACAAGTCCTAGGTTACCAAATCTGGACTTAATTTATGTGAAGGATGAACGATTTTTAAGTTTATATTGAACTAAAATAATTAGATGATTACTTATTACTTGGAAAGAACACATACTAAAACCAAGCTAAGGAAGAGACATGTAGGGCGGGGTCTCTGAGGGTTCCAGACACAGAGCTTTCAGTGTCCCCTCCCCCTGAGGCCAGGGCGCATTACCCTGGGAGTCACTGTGTGGCAATACCCCAAAGCAAAGCCAAACGCACTGCCGTCCAGTCGATGCCGACTCAGTGACACCAAGGGACTGGCTGGAAATGCCTCTGTGAGTTTCTGAGCGTGTAAAGGGTGACAATCGGGATGGGATATTTCCAGCCAAGGAAACTGGCTTCAGAGTTCAGAGTTTTATTGGGAGTCCATTGCATAGGCCTGATAGCTTGATTGCCCCCGTGGTTGATCTCAGCTTCCAGATCAGCTGCTAAAAAGTAACTCACAGCATCCTAAGTCACGGGGTAGCTATTTCTGGTTCAGCCAGGTCGTTACAACACCGGGGTTCCTGTCCTGTATTGCTCACACAACAGCAAAACATCTGATTGGTCAAGTCTGCGTTCTCCAACAAGAGTGACAAGATAGCTTACCCCTGTTGGCATTCACCGCTCCTCAGATAGCAGGTGCTCAAAAGACACTTGATGCATTTGCTAATCAGGATCATCCAATGACTGATTCCGGTTTCTTTTCTTTCTTGTTTTTAAACATTATTTTATTGGGGGCCCGTACAACTCAACGCAATACATTCATCCATCCATTGTGTCAAGCACATTTGTACATTTGTGGCCATCATCATTCTCAAAACATTTGCTTTCTGCTTGAGCCCTTGGTATCAGCTCTTTATTTTCCCCCTCCCTCCTTCAAGAACTCTAGATAATTTATAAATTATTATTATTTTTCATGTCTTACACTGTCCGATGTCTCCCTTCACCCACTTTTCTGTTGTCTGTCCCCCAGGGAGGGGGTTATATGTAGATCCTTGTGCTTGATTTCCCCTTTCTCCCCCACCATCCCCTTGCCCTCCTGGTATCACTACTCTCATTATTAGTCCTGAGGGGTTTATCTGCCCTGGATTTCCTGTTTCCAGCTCTTATCTGTACGAGTGTACATCCTCTGGTCTAGCCGGATTTGTAAGGTAGACTTGGGATCATGATAGTGGGGAGGAGGAAGCATTTAAGAACTAGAGGAAAGCTGTATGCTTCATCGTTGCTATCCTGCACCCTGACTGGCTCATCTCCTCCCCGTGACCCTTCTGTAAGGGATGTCCAGTTGCCTACAGATGGTCAGGTTTCTTTTCATGACATCAAACTAGCAAGATATTTTGAGGTTTCATTTCTAAGAGAATCACTTTACAATCTCTCTCAAATATGCATGGAAATTGTAATCATCAGGAGGGGGGTCCTATCTGGCCTGTTCTGGCTTCCTGGTTGCAACAAAGCAGGGTAAGACATGCCTCTATGACCTTTGCCTATTCTGACACCAGCCGTTCCTCCCACACCTCGTCACTTTGGCTGGGTTTGATCATTTCTTGCAGTGGGCACACAGAACTCGTGGGCAATAGTCACAGATACAGGGGGTTATTTTAGGGATGTTACTAGGTTACCACAAGGCAGGATCAGCAAAGTGAGGATGCAGCCACTGGTCCACAGCAACGCATCTCCTTGGCCATCAGCCAAGTCTCTCTGGTCCTCTGCTCCTCGGTGTCTCAGCCATGCGCTCCCTTGATTTTTCTTCCAATGGGACAGGATTCAGCCCACCTGTGGTTTTGCCTCACAGTTCCAGAGTCTCAGGCCAATTGAGAAGAGGGTCTCAGTACTGCTCTTCTGAGTCTGCCTGCCAGTCTCTGGGGCTTCGGGTCGTGGCGGTGTCTGCCACTTCAGAGATCGTGGACTTTCCCAAATGGTCCTGCCTTTCTCTGTGTGTCCCCAGTGGCTCTTGTATCGTGAGGAATGGCTTTGGTGGAGGTGTGGGCTGTCCTTTAGCTGATCAGACCTCTAAGGAAACTGGAGGATGACTTCTTAAGTCACCAGTAGCCTAAAGAAACTCACAAGGAAGAGGAGGAGATGTTCACGGCCTCTACTACAGTCAGGTCTTAATCCCAACCTACTCCTGTCCCACAGTAGAGCAGAGAACACCCTCTAAAAAGGGGATTGTCATCACTGGCATACAATCCAGATATATAATACACCACGAAAATCATTATGGCTAGAAGAGCTATATGAATGGACTACATCTCGGATAGAATCAAGTGCTCACGGTTCCAAAAATCTCCCAGGAAGGACAACAAAAACCTGGAGGCTCACTTCATTCAGTTCCGTGACTGACAATGGCTGTGCTTACAAGCCCAGTACAGACCGTGATCAGAATCAAATCCATCTAGGAAGGGAAAACAGAAACAGGTTGTGACGCATTCATGGCAAGTGTCCCTTTCTGTTATTAATTAAGTGGCAATACTAGCCAATCCCTGCCACGTCTCACTCTTACTTTCCTCAATGCTGTTCCGACAGAACCAAGCTTCAACCGGAGAGACAGGAATGAGGAGCCTTTCCGTTCTGCTCTTGCTCTTTACCGGACTCTCTTCTGCGTTCCCAGCAGATCCAGGGATGACTAATGAAGAAAGCATGCTACTGGCTCAGGTACTGTCTCCATACATTCTATCAGCAAACTACCAATGGCATTCACTTTATCAATTGTCGATTGTCTTGGGGGTCTGCAAAAGGCGGCAACAAATTCATTTCAAAGAGTACCAAATTTCCTTGTAAAATGTTGCTTTTCCTTTTCCGGGGTCTAGGGACCGGGCAGTGTTGTGTTCTGTTGCACACAGGGTCTGTTGTGTGGACATTCTGCTTACACAGGGTCACTGTGCGTCAGAACCAAATTGACGGCACCGAGCAGCAACAAGGACCTGGAGGATCAGTGTGTGGTCCAGGGTGTAGGTGGGCCTACGGAGAAAGCAGGGTTTTGCTCCAACCCTGGGTTAATGAGAGGAGGAAATAGATACCTTCAAAAGCAATGGAGATTTCTACAACAGCATTTCGACCATGCAGACCTTCTCTCTAATGTGGGGCAGTGTGAGCAGCTCCTTAGGAGAACAATTTGTCATCTGCTCTCATCAATATTACACCCTAGAAAACCCTATAGGGCCATTCTACTTTGTCACAGAGGGTTGCCATGAGTTTAAATCCATCTGAAGGCACTTAAAAACAACAACCATATATATATGACACAGGGGAAGCATGCCTCTATGACCTAGTCCCCTTTGCCTATTCTGACACCAGCCGTTCCTCCCACATCACGTCACTTCGGCTGGGTTTGATCATTTCTTGCAGTGGCCGCACAGAACTCGTGGGCAACAGTCACAGATAAAGGGGGTTATTTTAGGGACATTACTAGGTTACCACAACGCAGGATCGGCAAACTGAGGATACAACCATTGGTCCACAGCAACCCCTCGCCTCGGCCATCAGCCAAGTCTCTCTCTGGCCCTCTGTGTCTCAGCCATGTGCTCCCTTGACTTTTATATGTATATATTCCATAGCTTTGGCGATTTCCTCAAAAATCACCAGAGTTAATTTGTCAATTTAAATCGCTAATTAAATAGGCTAACCAGGTCCAGGAGAAATTCATGAAACCATTTTGACCAAAATTGCATAATTAAATTTAACTCAAGATTTGCTAAATCAAACTGTGATTATTTTTGTATCCAGCTGTCTGACTAGGACTAAACATTTATTCTCTTAACAAGCTCCTGTTTTCTGGGTATGTGATAGCTAAATGCTAAACAACCAAAATGGTAACTTCTCTCTCCGGTTAAGTTAGGTTGTGCAAGACATACACTTGAAGGAAAGGAATTTTGACCCAGCTGCCTTTTGTATGAATAAGCCAAAAAAAATTCTTTGTCACAAAGATATAATAAGATTTCTTGAAAGGGTTTTATAGGAACTCTCCCAAACCACAGAAAAGTTTTGATAAGCAAGGTGTCTCAAATGAGATGAATCTGCACACCCTCCTGAGACATCAGCTTAAAGCTGGGTAAACTCCCCCCAGTGAGTTTTCTGATGCTACCTGAGCACTATTAAGCTGTGATTGTGAATCGTTATAATTAATCCTGGAATCAACTACTGTAACATTTTATATCTATTTATCCAAATAGAAGCCACTCCCTGACCCCTGACGCATCCTACTTGGGACCACAAGCAAAAACTCACCAAACAAATGACTGTATTACAACTCCTTTGTCTCACCATCTGTAGCCATCTATGTGAGAAAATCTTAAAGTCATCCGTCTCCCTTGTGTAGACTGATGTCTTCCTGCATGCAAGGAACGATTCTTCCTCTGACTAAGTTTTCTTTAATTCCATTTTTATGTGGGGTGGATTCCTCTCTACAACGGTTTCGAGGCTAGTCCAATCTCCCAAAAGAAGCCCCCTTTCTTTCGTGCACCAAGGAAGCCTGGGCTGATATGGTATGTCTGCTGCCAATATTCACAGTCCGTCGGCTCTCTCATTGCCTCCCCAGCTCAGAGCCACGGTGTGGAGGTGAGCCCGTCTCACCATTAAACACCCACTAATTTGGAGCGGGTCCTGAGCATTCATTCAGTTGCTGTATCATT